TGAAGCAGACAGGATGTGGCAAAAGCTTTTCCACATTGTTGTTATTCATAGCGCTTTTCTCTGGTATGTATTCTTCCATGTCTGTGAAGCGTAGAGGATGTAGCAAAGGCTTTGCCACACTGCTTACATGCATAGGGCTTCTCTCCAGTGTGCATTCTTCCATGAATCTGAAGGTAACTGGATGTAGTAAAGGCTTTGCCACACTGTTGACATTCATAGGGCTTTTCTCCGGTATGTATTCTTCCATGTATATGAAGCTTAGTGGATGTAGCAAAGGCTTTGCCACACTGCTTACATGCATAGGGCTTCTCTCCAGTATGAGTTTTTTCATGTGAGTGAAGGTGAGAGGACTGAGCGAAGGCTTTCCCACACTGCTTACATTCATAGGGCTTCTCTCCAGTATGAGTTCGTTCATGTATCTGAAGGTAGGAGGCAGTAGTAAAGGCTTTTCCACACTGTTGACATTCATAGGGCTTTTGTCCGGTATGTATTCTTCCATGTATATGAAGCTCATGAGATGTAGCAAAGGCTTTGCCACACTGCTTACATTCATAGGGCTTCTCTCCAGTATGCCTTCTCTGATGTACTCTAAGTAAACTGGGATAAGCAAAGTCTTTCCCACATACCTTACAATTTAAACCTTCCTTCCCCATGTGTGTGATCCTGTGCCTTTGAAGACTTGTGTATGAAATACAGGTCTGACCACCTCGTTTACATTCATGGAGTTTCTCTCCACAATGAGTTCCTTCATGTCTTCTAAATAAAGAGGAGAAATCAAAGGCTTTCCCACATATGTCCCATTGAAAAAGTTTATCTCCACTGTGTGTTATCATGTGTCTTGGAACACTGGTGGGATAAGAAGAGGCTTCACCACATTGCTGATATATATAGGGTTGCCACCCAGTATGAGTATCTCCATGCCTTTGAATGTCACTGGAGTGACTGATGACTTTCCCATGTACTGTAGATTCATAAAGTCCATCTCCAGTTTGTAGTAACATTTGTGTGTGAATATTTTTGGGAGAAACCAGAGAATTCTTACATTGTTTAAATTCACATGGCTTCTCTTCACATTCCTCATGCTTGTAGTATTTGTGTCCAGAGTATGATGTGATCTGCCTATGAAGGAATGAAGGTCATATGAAGTCTTTTGCACACATAATGAAGTGACATGGATTTACTCTATTAAAATTTTTCTTTGTTCAAGTAAGAATTGGAATCGATTTGAAGGTTCTCCCACACTATCTTGTGCCTTTGAGTTTACCATATGACTTCTTTAAGGAAGAAGAAGTGACCAGCACGTAATCAATGCTTGATTCATTCACCATTTTCTATGTATTGATAGATTTTTACATTACTACCAACATCAGGTAAAGGCTAGGTTTGCTGACTTGTTCAACTTGCCTAAAAATAAGGAGATTGAAAGCAAACAATCCTTTTCAACACAGCTTCTCTATGGCTATTATCCAAATAGTGGTATTCACATATGCAATTTCATAGTACTTTTTGAATGTCAAATACTTTGAAAAGACTGAATATCTGTTACAGCTAAGTATATATTTCTGGTAAAAAACACTATAAGAAGAAATACTTCTCAAATTATGCACACTTCTTTGGTTGGTTTGCTTTAAAAATGATATGACAGTTCTCAGACCCCCTCGTGGACTCCTCTTGTGAGTACACTTACCTTACATTGCTCCCAGAGTTTTCAATATGGTCTTCAGTGATCTTGTCTTCCCATTTCTTTCCTAAAATGAGAACACAACAATCTTTATGAGTATTTAGGAGCTAGAAATGCTTTACCAAATCCTAGGTGCCATTTATGCTGCAATAATTCACCAATTGATTCCCTTTTCACCTTCTGCATAAATGACCAAAATAAACATGAGTTCTCGATTTGATTAATTTTAGAAACGTCATTATTACCTATAGAAGCCAGGTTTCTGAGGACTTCCAGCATCACATCTCTGTAAAGGTTCTTCTGGGAAGGATCCAGCAAAGCCCACTCCTCCTTGGTGAAGTTCACAGCCACATCCTCAAAGGTCACTGAGATCTAAAATATCCCCCCCAAATGTATAGTGGAGGCCAGGAGAGATTGACAGCATGAGAAATCTATACTCAACATGCATGATGTTCATATGATTCCCTGGCCTCTCGATTAATTCCACAATTTGGTCCATCAAATCTTTACTGTACTCAACTTCTTCCAGCCATTCCAACACTAGAAATTGGCTACTCAGAAGGCAAACATCATAGTGATTTATACCTTTTCTTTGGGGAGTTCACAGGAAGTAAGACAGGCTCCCAGATTACTCCTAACTTCTTTATTGGTTGCATCTCTATTACATGTCCTAGAAAC